ACTCTGTCTGGTATAAACAATGCTGCCTCTGTTAAACGTTGCATTTTGCCGCTACAGCTGCATCAACCTTGAGACCTCAGCCGTCCCTCTTATCACCTGCTCAGAGACTGCAAAGACTCAGGAAGAGACCGCGAAAAAGCAAAGAAGACATGCTGCAAGAAGTGATGCAGCAATCTATTAAAGAGAACGAGAAGGCACAGGACTGGAGGGAGAGAGAAAGCAGGATCCGCCAGGAAAACGCAGCGCACCGGCGGCAAAGCACCGCGCACTGGCAGCAAAGCACTGATAGGCTCATCAGCATCCTGGTGCGCCAAGCAGATGCTATCCAGGAGCCGGTAGCCATGCAGAAAGAGCAGAAAGAGGAGCAGTACCGAAAACGCAAACACCACCCTGCCCTACAGCCCTTGTCCCCAAACTCTTTCCGTTGTACCCCACTGTCACCTCCAACCCACTTTCCCCAACTTCCGTGTTCTTCACGCCACCCAATGCCTCCAACACCAGTATCTTCACCACCCAACCCTGAAGACCACGACCCTTACCCTCTGCACTCAACCCCCATCACCATGCAGTATAGCTGTCCTGAAGTGCAGTACTCACTGCACAGCACACCAGACAGGACATACACGAATCTGTGATTGTACTGTTCCCCACTCCACCCCCTTGTTTCTTTTCAATAAATGGATTCTTTGGCTTTGAAAACATTCTTTATTATTGCATAAAGTAAAAGACTCCTTAGCCCAGGAAATAAACAGGCACTGCAAGTCTGTTTGTCTGCTAAGCAGACACGGATTCCTAAAGATTGGAACTACTGCACTTCACTCCCGTGCAGGGCACCAGATATCACTGCTGGTTTTCAGCCTCAAATTGCTCCCTCAAGGCATCTCTAATCCTTGCAGCCCCGCGCTGGGCCCCTGTAATAGCCCTGCTCTCTGGCTGTGCAAATTCAGCCTCCAGGTGTTGAACCTCGGAGGTCCATGCCTGAGTGAAGCTTTTGCCCCTCCCTTCACAAATATTATGGAGGGCACAGCACGCGGATATAACCGTGGGGATGCTGCTTTCGGCCAAGTCCAGCTTCCCGTACAGAGATCGCCAGCGGGCCTTTAAACGGCCAAAGGCACACTCCACAGTCATTCGGCACCGGCTCAGCCTGTAGTTGAACCGTTCCTTGCTGCTGTCAAGGCTCCCTGTGTAGGGTTTCATGAGCCACGGCATTAATGGGTAAGCGGGATCTCCAAGGATCACAATGGGCATTTCAACTTCCCCTACCGTGATCTTCCGCTCTGTGAAAAAAGTCCCAGTCTGCATCTTCCTGAACAGCCAAGTGTTCCGAAAGATACGTGCGTCATGCACCTTTCCAGGCCAGCCTGTGTTAATGTCAATGAAACGCCCACGGTGATCCACAAGCGCCTGGAGAACCATAGAGAAATACCCCTTCCGATTAACATACTCGGATCCTACGTGGGGTGGTGCCAGAATAGTAACGTGCATCCCATCTATCGCCCCTTCACAGTTAGGGAACCCCATTTGTGCAAAGCCATCCACTATTTCCTGCACGTTACCCAGAGTCACGGTTCTTCTGAGTAGGATGCGATTAATGGCCTTGCAAACTTGCATCAACATGATTCCGACGGTCGACTTTCCCACTCCAAACTGGTTTGTGACTGACCGGAAGCTGTCTGGAGTTGCCAGCTTCCAGATTGCAATAGCCACCCGCTTCTCCACTGGCAGGGCAGCTCTCAATCTTGTGTCCTTGCGCCGCAGGGTGGGGGCAAGCTCCTCACACAATCCCATGAAAGTGGCTTTTCTCATCCGAAAGTTCTGCAGCCACTGCTCGTCATCCCAGACTTCCATGACGATGTGATCCCACCACTCGGTGCTTGTTTCCCGAACCCAAAAGCGGCGTTCCACAGTGCTAAGCATGTCAGTGAATGCCACAAGCAATTTCGTGTTATACGCATTACGCATCTCGATAGCATCGTCGGACTCCTCACCCTCACTCTCACTGTCACTTTGGATCTTAAGGAATAGTTCGACAGCCAAACGTGACGTGCTGGCGAGACTCGTCAGCATACGCCTCAGCAGTTCAGACTCCATTTCCCGCAGACAGATCGCGCTGCACAGAAATCGTTGAAAGATGGCGCCAAAGGTGGACAGAAACAAAGGGATTTCTGGGATGCGAAGTGATACATCACGGGGCATTGGGACAGGACCCAGAATACCCCGCACCCACGCCCCCTTCCCACAATCCACGGCGCCAGAATGGGAAAAGGTGCTCTGTGGGATAGCTGCCCATAATGCACCGCTCCCAATAGCGCTGCAATTGCCGCAAATGTGGCCTCGATAGTGCGCTGGGCAGCTGTCAGTGTGGACAGACTGCAGCGCTCTCCCTACTCAGCTGCACGAAGTCAGGTTTAATTCACAGCGCTGTACATCTGCAAGTGTAGCCAAGGCCTTAGTGAAACTCCACCAGGAAATTTCAGTCTGGCTTTACTGGAAAGCCACATGAGCTTTTAATTAACTGTTGAAGTCATTTACTAAAAAGAGTTCACAGTATTTTAACTAACAATAAAGGATACTTGACTCCAAATAATGGGATCCTATTAACTTTTGCATCCCCCCCCAGGTTGTGACTTCTGCATCTTTCGCCTGACAAAGCCATTGCAAGCAGCACCGCCATAGTCAGCTTCTGCTGCAATCCAACCAGAGAGAAGTAGGATCACACCTAACACCTTCTACTGTGGGACAAGCAAGTTACGGAAGGGCCAGAGCTAAACAACAGAAAACTAGTGAAATTTACTGTCCTTCCCATTTCCACTGTCATTGGAAACAAGACTTTGCAAACACAACCTGCTGATTTTTGAGATACAGTAGTACAACAGATGTCCAATTTCATGGCATGTATTCTAGTGCCAACAGAGAGACGTGCTGTGTCTATAGCACCAAACGTATTTAAACACATTGATTTTAATCTCTAGATAAAGCCAATATTGATTCCATGTTAAATTGGACACTACTAAATGTATTAGGGCTAGAATGTATTTTCTTAAAGAAAAAGGAACTTTACAAAGCCCAATAAGAAAAGTTTTCATTAATTTCAGTAGGAGCAGGTTGGATTTGCACAGACATTAGAAAGAATAGCATCACATGCGAGAGCTGGAAAGTAAAGCTGATCAGTCTGATTTCTTTGTTGAGAAGGTGTGAAATGCAAAAACACACAACTAATTGCTTAGACAGAAATGAATAAATTGGAACTTTAACGTTCTTTTAATCCAGAATAATTAATTTAATCCAGCTCTGAATAATTCAGAGCTAACCCAGGGATCCTCTCTTCTCATTCTACTCAAACTCTCCACTGAAAAGCGTGAGACAGGTGCAGGACTGGTTCCTAGGTATGATCAGCAGAGGTGTGCAAAACATGGAGTTTAAAAAAAAAAAAAAAAAAAAAAAAGAAAAGAAAAATCTGCTTTGGTTTCCTGTAACCAGGTTTCCCAAAGCGCCTTATAAAAATAATCAGAGCCATTCTGTCAGGAAGGCGACTGTTGTCCAGTACAGGTTTCCAGTTAGAATTACTAAAAGCCATTTTACTTTGTCTAGGCTTTAAACCATTTACATTCAAGGGAAAAAACACCAAACTGATCCAACTGATAGCATTTGTAACTCATGCTAGCTGCAGAGCAGGCAGTTCAAATACCAAGTAGCTCCTCTTGGCCGTTACCAAGGCCTGAGCCAGCTCTGGTTAAAGGCAACGGAATGACTTATTGACTTCTATGGAAGTTGGACCAGGCTCTGGAAGAACCAGCAGCCCAACAAGGGGAAGCTCCATAGTAGGAAGACTTCCTTGTCTTAGCCTTTCCCTGCAAAGCTCCCCTTTGTAAGGCTGGGACCATGCAGCATGGCACCAGGCCTATCTACCCACACAGTGCAACACTGGGGACACCAACAGGGTAGGGAAATGGAGATGGGGGGGTTCCACAACTACACAGCAGAGTGTCATTGGGGAGAGTGATAACTATTGAATTTCAGGGTAACACCCAATATAATTTAAAAGTCGCCGCCTTGTTTGGGGTCCATAAGAGACTCAGACAAAGAAATAGCAGGATCTCACTTGATCCATTATTTAATGCATTCAAATAGAGAACTCCAATGCAGTTTCCATATGCTCCCTTACCTATTAGGTGGAGGCCCAGCCTTCATCCGCCCTCCTATCAGAGCCACAAAGTCAGTTTTGAATTCCGTTTTGATAATGTTGTTCTCTGGCTCTTTCTCTGCATTTCCTGTCCTTCCTTGCTGAACCTAAAGAATAAAAAGATCTCGATCTGGTTACCAGCTGAGTTATAAGTCATGAAGATCTGCTCTTCATAGGTGAAAGAGGCTCCAGTGTGGAAGCAAAGCAGAACATTCATCTGCAATGATCCAACTGGATGACAAGGTTCACGCAAAATAAAGATCCAATCTCACAGTTTTGCAAGTTAAATGCCTTTTCCATTCTTGGCCTACTGTCCCCATTTTTAATTCCCATTAGAAGCCTCAAGGTATACCTAACCTGACTGTGGTCCTGTTTTTCCAGTCCTTAATTCAGGGAACTGGAAATTGGATATGGAGGCTTTTACCTCTAGCTCACCCATTCAAATTCTGCCAAGTGACCAAAAGCTGTTACCATCTGAGGGCCATTCGGTGGCCCATGTGAAATGAGTTTGGTGGCCATGGTGAACAGGAGTCCACATCACAAGAAGTGGCAACAAAACTGGTGAAGTCTCGGCAGAGATACCAAGAAGCGAATAGGCCAGGAAAACAATGCCCCTCGCATCACAGTTGGCTCCTCAGATCAGACTTAAGTCAATGGTCTGTCAACTCTACACCTCTCACCAGCACTAAATTCATACACACAGGATCCACCAACTTGAGGGCTTTGGCAGTGTTACCAGCCCAGCTCCACAGCCAGACAATCTTGAGGGCACAGGCTTCTTTGGGAATACACCTAAATCTCACCATCCCAGGGGATTTTTTATTTGCCATCATGTCAACAATCTCCATGTTTGCTAGAGTGCGTCATTCAACCAGGCAAGAGAACAATTAATTAGCTGGGGGGAGAATTAAAAATGTCACCTCCACTAAAAAAATGTTTAGGTCCATCATTCTTGACAGCTTGCCTTTCAGTTAACATTCCAGGATCACATTTCTAAACCAGCTTCCATTTTTAGACTTGCACTTATGTGCCCACAAAATGAGCACGCTTCTGTGCTGCACCCACACACTGGATAGCAGGTTACTTACTGTGATCTTATTCTCACTGCTGATAGGTGGAGAGGGATCCAGTCCAAGCTGAAGCCGTCGCTGTTTCTCACAATAAGCTTTCCATGTTTCTTCATTGAATCCATAATTAAAGTAATCAGAAAGGTCAGCACCTGAAAATGAAGCCACAAATCAACAGAGCAACTCGGAGAACATGTGCACTCTCAAATCGCTCCTGAAGCGCTTACATGGAGAGTTTAAAATTTCCAATAGAGAATTAAACATGGGGTTGTTCTTCACTTTCTGTTCTGAACTTTGTATAGCGTTGGTGAGAGTTTCAAAACTGTTGCATTCCTCATAAGAGGTGGGCACTTCTTAGTAGGGGCCAAAATATGAAGTGCTCTGGAACCCTTTGGATGCAAGGTTCAACACAAATTCAGGATATTGTAAGAGAGAGAACTTATGTGAATTCACAGACAGTTCTTCAGCAATTTAGTTTTTCAGAGTGATATCCTGTATTAGTCCTTTTATAATTTTATGGAGGAGTTTAGTGGTGATGAAAACTGTGTCAGTGGCACAGAGATTTTTTTCCACCTTAGCTCTACCAATGCTTTTCTATTCTGAGCTGGACTGCCCTTTGCCGTTCTGATTAGAGATTCTCTACATCAGGGCCTGCCCACTGTGTTAAACTGCAACCTTTATAACATGTCTTAAAGCACACAGACTTATTGTTCAGTTGTGATCCCAGCCAGGATTTGAACTGAGGTCTCTCAATGTGTATTAACCCGCTATGACATTGGTGACGATTTAAGGGTTCTGTCTATCACTTGTGAATAATTTTATGAAATTGTATCAAGGCATAACTCCACAGCAGTGTAATATAGAAGCACCTCCTAGCATGGTTAAAAAGTCCCTCAACATTCCCATTATAAAGGTATTTCTAGCTTGACCAACTGTAAAACAACAAATCCTAGTTTAAGCCCTTGAGTTTCAGCTAAGACTATCTGGCCATGATACGGTCAGGATTTTGACCTTATACTTTCTTACACCCTCCTGCCAGCCACTTTTCCTGATGCACCCCAATGGCAGACGAATTCCAACTCAGGCTTAGCAACATGAAATTTACACATCAGCTTCATTGGATCAGATTTTGCTCCTTGATTCATGCTTTGATGGTGTGAAGTTTCCTTCCCCTCCCCGGCTTATTAAGGAGAGACTATCTTGCTGATTGATCTTGTTGTCTAGGACATAGCCCAGAAGGCTGCCCAGGAAGAGGCTACTGAAGTAGCACAAAGAATATGGGCCGAACTTGTGCTTTAATTTTACCTCAATTCATACTTCAAATCAATATTATTTTATGACTACGTGGATCATTCCTGGTCCAGAGATGGGTCAGCAGGACAATAATAATCCCCACGCTCGCATCTCTCAACTTTACTGGTATCACTGCTCTAATTCTGTTCTTTCCTAACTTCTTCTCTTCCTAGTCTCTCTTTCACTTCGTAGTCAAATCCCCTGCAGAAGAAAAGGATACATTTTCTATTTACATCTACACCAACACCCATTCATCACAAAGTGCTTACTGCTCAATACTTTGAAAAAAGTAACAGTGATTTGAATTTTCCATTGTGTCTCCTACTGCCCTTCATCTCAGGTGGGTGAGATGTATCAAACATCTCATGCGCCGCCTTCCAAAAACACTACTTACACAGCAGAATCATATTTTTAAAGGGCAAGTAAAATATTAGCTCCCCGCCATTATATGAAGGAGCAAGTGAGTGGACTTTATGCCAAGACTAATAGATTTTCATGCCAATTTTGCACGGGTGCTGTAATAAGTGTTTGGATCTCTCTGGCCTTTAGTTATTTTGTCTGAAACACAGCTGAAAAATAGAAAGACTTCACTTCAAGCATTTTATAGTTTGTATATAAGAGTCACTTTAATGTAGAAAACTCCACAATACAAAACCAATAGAAACAGAAGATAAAAGAAACTTCCCATATTTTCATCTTAGCATGTTACATAGCAATTTTTATCTATAGATCTCAGCGTTCTACAAAGGTGAGTATCATTATCCACATAATACAGAGACAAGCTGAGGCATGGAGAGTAACTCGCCCAGGTCACACAGTTAGCCAGTGGCAGACCCTGGAGCAGAACCCGTCTTCTGACTCAGAGACTCTTGCCCTGTTGCACACTGGCAGGAAACAACCAATATCTCCTTCCAATGTGTAAATCAAGTTATTTTCCTTACTGGATTGTTTGGTGGCTTTTTTGATGCATCAATTCACATTAGAGATGTACCTGTCAAGAACTGAGTTTGATTGCTTTCCTTAACAATATACATTGATTACGCCCCAACTCCCACTGACAACGGGAATTATGTGGTTGAATGCTAACTTGCTAAGAACAAACTATCCATCCCCATGCTCCTTCATGCACCTGGTACTTCCCAACTGAAGTGCTGACATTCCAAAGGAGGAGCAATGACAAGGCTGCACAAGGAGTGTCCTTGAGTTCAGCCATGATGGGCTAAAGCATGCCAGTGGCTGTGCATCAAGAGTAGACCACCTCTCACCTACAGCCAAATCCTGATCCCACTGAAGTTAATAACAAAAAGTCCAACTGACTTCAGGATTTGGCCAAATGCTTTTATACTGCTACCAGAGTCACATGTTTTAGGAAACAGAGGTTGAATATAAAGACCAGCTACTTTTCTTTAGGAAAGTAAGAAACAGAATACAAGTCTAGCCCAATTTCTTCTGATCACTGCTGAAATTGATACATGGCTCAGTAACTCTAGTTAGCATCACTAATTGCTCAGAACAGGAGTCAGAGGTTGATCAGGATTTCTCCCTCCATCCCTCATGGCAGCAACACTTTGACAGAAACTATGCATGAAAAGCAAAATAAAACAGAACTGCAGAAAATATTTACCACAAGAAACTTTGAGGCCCCACCTGGTTTCCGCCACGGTTTGTCTTCAAACGAATCTAAATCCACTTCTATTACAGGCAATCCATTTATATTCCCTGTGGCATCTAGATCAATACCTTTGGGCTGCAACTTGGCTTTGAAGAGAGAGAAATTGTTACCGCTTTTAATGCAATGCTTCTAATCCACCAATTTGATGAGCGAATTATTCAGTTTAAAATAGCTATTATCTGCTATGAATTTAACATCAGCTCTGCATCTGTCTATTTCTCAATGTAACCAGATCTAACTTTCTAGTATAAAAACAACTTTCAGTGATTTGTGAATAGATGGCCATGGTGTTATAGCTACTAAACCTGGAGAGCTGGGAGGCAAAGAAAAAAATACCCTCAAAATACCAGCACTGTAGATGAACCAAATAAGCCATTTAGGCAACTATGAGATTTAGCTCAGAAGAAAATATTAACTTTTCTCAAGATCATTCAGTACAATCCCCCTCCCCCCACAACAGATGCAGACAGGTCTACTTTTAATGTTAGCTTTGGGCTTGATTTTACAATATGCCAACAAACCACTGGAGCCAATGGGAGTCCCTGGTGCTCAGCAAGTTGCAAGAAAAAGACTTTGGAGGCAACTACATCTCCTCAGTTCTCCTCAGCCAGAGGGAAGATAATCACCACAAAGGGACTGGGAAAAGGGAAAATAGGGATTGCAAAAAGACAATCTCCCATAGAGAAAGGAAAAGAGGGGTAAAAGGGGAGAGGACATATTGCAGAGATATTTTAAACCCAACATATGATGTAGAATATAAAACTGAATGAGGTACTGAGGGCTGATTCCAGCCAACTGATTAGTTAATGGTCAAGGGCCAGAGTCTTCTGCCCTTACTCCTGGTGATTAATATCTTGCACTGCAAGTAGCCCCACTGATCTCAGTAAGCCTACTCATGCAGTGAGGCAACACTCAGTGCAAGCAAGGATAGTAGAATCCAGCCCCAAGCATTAATTCTCTAGTAACATCCTGTCCTGAACAGATGCTGTGTTACACAGGGATTGTCTTTTTTTCCATTTTCAGTTTAAAACAGCAATTACAACCTGGCTGCCTGGCATTTCCAGGTGATCAATTACCAGCTGGCTGTTCCTCCAACACATGCTGGGCCATCAATTCTCCCCAGCCAGCCACTAATCTTTAAGAAACTCACTGCACGGAGCTCACTATTGCTTTAAAGAAGATTCTCTTTTTTGAGGGTTGTGTGCAATTAGAGTAAGCAATATTTTTAGCTGGTCCAGCCATTCATGCCAGAGACTTCAGCAAAAACCCTGTGCAGGAAGTTTGAAATACCCCAAAATACAGATGGTAAAATAAATTTTATTATTATGATTAATACCTGAAGAGGATGTTCCATAGCCTCTACCTGTTTTTAAGTTTAGATTCATAGGAGTCCCCCTAGACAGAAAAGAATGAGAAGAGATTTGCATCAGTATCTCAATATATGGGTTGGATTTTTTGTTGTACGTGCTAGCCTCAATATATCCCAGCAGACTGGAAAAACATAAAGAGTTGTTCCAACCAACAATGGCCTTTGCCTTATCTGAAGCGTCTTTGTGATTTATATTACTTAAGACTCCATTATTTTAAAAATTAGATTGCACGGTTCATGTAAAGCTATTGATGGTGGAGCGGGCAGCATACTGAAGTGGATATCCAGCAGTGTACATTGAGATAAGCAGCAACACACGAGATTTGTCTGGACTCAGAAGCAGAGCCTGATGATTTCCCCAATGTTGGTAGGTATCATCCTGCCAGACAGCATACTCGTGATTAAGAATTAGGATGGAGCTGGGCAATGGGGGAAAGAATTGTAGCAGCAAGTCTGTACAGAATATGAGAAAGGAAGGGAGCACTCTGGTTCACAATGAAAAACACAGAATCCAGAAAAGGATGTTTGGAAAATTCTAAGGAATCAGCGATTGGATGAATGGGGCATCGCTCTTTAGAATGAACCATTAGACCCCAAACCCTTCCTGCAAAAGCAGAGGGGAGTTATCCTTGCAGCGAAGGATTAGAATATGCTGCAATGAACAGGTAAAAGGTTTCCTTAAGATGATGGTTGCCAGCAGCAACCAGAAATGCTGCCCCCTTATTTCCATCTAATACAGAATAGTAAATGTTATTCAGACTCAGATTCTTAACCATCTCAGTGACAGGTGGCTGGTTTGCAAATCTGGTCTCACCATACCTCAGCTGTGAAGAATTGGACAGCTGAAACAATTAATGAATTCAGGGCTTCTATTTAATTCATCTGCTGTTTAGCTGGATTCTTCATTTAAATTCAACAAAACCTCAAGAATTAAAGTAATTTTAAGAACTTGCACTACTTCCCACCTTCTATTTCACTCAGTCAAGTGCTCCACCAATATTAATTATTCAACATGATGGCAGTTGACATGTGGAGTATTAGCCTCATTTTACAGATGGGTCACCCAGCAAGCCAATGCCAGAAACGGGCACTAGCCATTAAACTCCCTGCCTCTTAAAATAGTAAGATCAACTGCTTTTTTCCCCCTGAATCATAATGATAAGAAGAAAGTTGGTTATTAAAACAAACAACAGGCACTGTAACCAGAAATACATACATGTACGATGGTGCTCCTGTTTTAATGTTGCCAATGGTAACTTTCACATCATCATCATCACTGTCGCTATCACTGTCTTCCTCATCATCTTCACCACTCGGAGGGGCCTAACAGTAACACAGACACATGGGGACTCATTGATACTTACACCCAAGAAATTCACCTGGATGAGAACGCAAGTCTTAAAAGCTCAATAAAGTAGTACAAATTAGGAAGAATGATTCTGTTACAAAGACATCCTTTTCCACTTGGTTAATAATCAATATTTTTTTTAAAAACCACAATAAAATAAATAAATATTGTTTCACCTTTCATCCAACGATGTCCGAACTATTTTCAAACTTTAACTCCCACCACAGCCCTTTGGGGTTGCCTGGGAGTGTTACTACACCAGTTTTGCACATTAGGCTCTGATTCAGGCAAGTGCTTAAGCATACATATAAACTTTAAGCATGTGGTTAACTCTCACCAATTTCAGTGGGATGCGATCCTGAATCAAGGCCAGAGAAATTAAGGTACAGAGGAGTTGAGAGGTTCAAAATGAGTAATCCAAGGAATCAATGGTTGAGTCAGAAGTAGACCTTGGCAATCCCAACACCTAATACTCTGACCACAGGCATTTTAGGTAGAAAAACTACATGCTGTAATTAGCACCCAGAATTGCTAATTAATAAGTTGTTATAGTATAGGTGTAATAAGCTATATTTAAGATGACAAATAGTAGCCCCCTTTTTACTTGAGCCTTGTTATACACCAACATTTACAAGGAGTGAACATGCACTGCATTGCAATAGCCACATCCAGCAGTTATAGCTGTAACACATACATGTTGTGACATCTCTCGGTCTTCACCAGTGACAGGCCGGCTCTCCTGAGGAGCATCTTGCAAAGGATGAGAAGATTCTGCATGTCTACCAAATATAACAGACCACAATAAATACAATTGACTCATGGAGCGACCTATTCATGTTTCCAAAGTGCCCATCAGTACAGAATCAAGATAACATTCTGATCATAGTTTTACCAAGAGATATATTTGATTCTGGTGACTGGTAGTAGAGTAGTTCGCTCAAATTCAATCTCAGCAGGTTTTGCTTTTATTGGTGAAAGGCAATTTAGAGTTCCTGAAGGATGCCAGATGGGCAGCCTTGCACACCAAACACTTATTTATCCACAGATCAGCTAAGGCACTTGCAGCAGCTCTGAAAGATTCCCAGTGTGCCTCAACCCCACTACTTCTAAGGGTAAGAAGATGGTTCAGTCTCCATAGCCCATTCAATCCTTGGCCTTTCCCTGAGACTGCCAACAAGAGTGCCAATTATATAGGCATTTTTAAGTGAAGAGGACCCCTGCCCAATAGGAATTAGATCAAGATCAGTTGATTCCCTTTCTACAAGCCACCAAACATTAACAACATTCAGTTATTAAGGACTTGGGCTGAATTTTAACCAGTTACCTGGAGATTAAAGGACAGGTAATTTAACAATCCCACAGACCATCCCATTTCCTTATTCATTGTAAATTAATCCTAATATCCATTATTGCACTTTCAGATTTATTCTGTTAACTAAAGATTGTGGAGCAAATGTTAGTATTGTTTATTGTATTTTCCAAACAAGCCAGTCCAACAAAAATCATATGTACCTTACGTGTTATGGAACTAAAAATCAGAAGGCGGCATACTTAGCCATGGAACTGGAAGAGTTATTTTGAAATTCTAATAGAATCCTTTTTTTTAAAGTTAATTTAACTGAGGACTCAAGAGCCCAAACATGCCAACACTTACATCTGAGCAAAGCTTATTACTGGGGGTACTCCCACTGAAGTCAATGAAGATACTCATGGGGATAAGCACCATGCCTGCTAGTGAGTGTTTGCTCCCTTTGGGGTTAGATCCTGCAAACACATGACACACAGAGGCCACACACTGAACAGATTAAAGCCATTTCAGAGGCTGCACAAAACAGCTTCTAAACAAGGAAGCCAAAGATCACATTGACATAATGGAGCCCAGCAATACAAAATCTTGGAAGTGATTACCAAGAATCAAATAAAATAAAAGTCAACCCACTGCAGTTTTGGAAACTAGTGAAGCTCTCTTATTAGGAGGCTAGGAAGACAAGATTGTGAAGAGACAGAGAGACCTGGGCAAGCAGCCTAAATGAATTCTTTATCAGTTGCACAGTCATGTTGGAGGAGAGGTAGTGAAAAGTTTCACAAAGAAAGAATTGCAGTAATCAAGCCAAGATTAAACAAAAGTACAGACAAAGATTTCAGCAGCTGTCCTAGTAAGCATAGGTACCAGTATGGTCAAATTCCTGAGGTGGTAGCAAAAGCACTTCAATTACCAAATTAGCATAACAGGCTTCAAAAAGATCAGACTCCACAACAACTCCAAGGTCACGGGCATCAAGTCATTGTGGAAAGATAAAGAGAAGTACCACTGGAGGAAATTGCCACAGATGGCTCCCCAAAACCTCTGGCATTCTTTTTACCAAATCAAAAGCAATTAAGAGCATTGATCTCAAACCACAGAATTGTCTCAGAATTCAAGATCATTGATCAGCCAGCACTGAATTAAAGAAAAGCAACAAATGTTACCTTCAGCTTCAAATCACAGGAAGTATCTGTGGATGCGTATTACAATTTGTGAATTTAAAGTTCAAGTACACATCTATAAAGTAACAGCCACTTTCCTACAGTTTTAAGACGAGAACAAATAATCACTTTGACAGGACTAGTGTCATCGCTTTTATGTTGGCAATAGTCCTGGGCATTTTATTTCCACCCCCTGAATCCCAACATAACCCTTTGTGCCAGGGATAAAACAGCCCCTTTTACAGCACTGCTATAATTTCACAAAATCCTCTGCATCAAGGAATGTCAAGAGATACTGAATACATGTAATTTGTGTACACTGTCTTCCCACAAATAGTCAACGTATTCAGAGAGAACATCATACTGGAATTTCAATGGTTAACAAAGAGTCTAGCAAATAATCATCTTGTTGGCACATCTCACAATCCATACAAAGTTTATATATGAGACAAAGACTCAAAATGAGGACTATAAGAAAAATAAGAGCAGGAAGCAAATAATAATAATAATAATACTTTGCAGTCAAGGTTTTAAAGTGATTTGCAAACATTAATAAATTGAAGGATGTAGCTACTTTATCTTATGGAGCATTTCTGATAATCTCATGTAAATCATAAAGAGACAAGAACTCTATTTATGTAGGTTAGCAGTACATTTATGTCTAAAATCAGAGACTGTCCTTGTCATGAGGGATAGTTGATATTACATTTGCTAAGCGCAATAAGATAGTCCACAGTTTGCTTGTGTGTGTTCATATTGGTTGAATGAAGATACTTGCTCCAAAGAGGATAATATTCATAATGGTCCCAAAGTGCAGCAAACACTGGGCTACATTTTCTGTGTTTCTGAGCACCCTGAACTCCAGTTTATGGCGGGTGTACAACAATCCTGAAATTCCTATCATACATACATATACAAAAAATATTCAAATGCAGACACCTCTGGGGTGGAGGAAGGCACAGCTGGTGCATACCATACTGCACAAGTATAGTGGGGAGGGAGGGGGATATTTTGGTCAAGGATACCGGGAGAATCCTCTAATCTTATTAAGGATCCAGTGTAACTTTTCATATCACCACAGAACTGGTTTTTGAAGGTCTCATCCAAAAGATGTCCGAACAGTAAGGTTCACACAACTCAATTTGTTGCGATGCAAGGGGATGAGTTGACTGTCAAGATCTGAAACTAGGCTCAAGGTATCTAGGAATTATAGGCCTGATGCTGAGACAGAGTTCCCCCCTCCAGCAGATACAGTTATTATGAGTGACTAGTTTACAGACTTACCTTGCAATTGGTCCATCTTCTTGCTTACCAGTGGTGTCATCTGCAAATATGATAAAAATAACATATGAAATCAAAAACCAAAGAGATCAGAACTTATAACACAGTCTGGGCCTTTTGGGAAAAACTCTCTCTCTCTCTCTCTCTCTCATATATAGATATATATATACACACACACACATTATAAGTAATGTTTATTTCCAAGCAAAGCTCAATATGAAATAAAGCAATGAAAAAGTAAGATTACACATCCTTGACAACTGACAGAATTAAAAAAGGCCTTTGAATGCCAGACCCCAGATTATGCAACAGAATGAATAAAGGCACCTATCAAGCCAGGTATGGATCTTGGTTCCAAGAGTCTTCCCACCTAGCCTGGTCTCTTTCCCACAGAAAAAAATGTGTGAACAGGACCTCAAGTCAAAAAGTTTTCAAAGCAAAAATCAAAAGACCAGAAAATATACTGACCTTAATTGACAAAAAAAATTTAAGGTCTCACAATGGTAGGAAACGCATGGAGTGATGGATGCATTGAAAAAGATGCCTGGTAACTGTTCCAAGAATGCTCTGCCAGCAAACCCAGGCTCTGACCCTTCACTTGGATACATATAGAGCCCGAAGTGGCACAGGGGTCCACTTGCATCAATCCAGTGACAGAACTGGGGCCCAAATATGCATTTACCTGACAGATTTTAAAAGTTATTATGCACGCCAATGTCTTGCTATTAGAGTTTCATTCTGCCCCATTTCATTCTTCATTAGCCTATTACTGTTAAAAAGTGATCATATACAAGCCAAAAAATGCTATACTGTATTAAACGGCATCAAAGACTGTGACAGAAGAAAAAAATTCTGATGGAAGGTCAACTCCCACTCCAGCTCACCCAGCTTAGGTAGTGGATTCAGACTTAGTTTTATTGATTTAGTGCCATCTAGCCCTTTGCAAACAACTGAAAGTAACAAGTTTCTACCCTGAAGGAGTTTACAATCTGAAACAGACATAACCCAGTAAAGGATGACAGTAGTATCCCACATAATGGCTAGGACAACAAAGTAAGGCAAATTAATGGGGCGTATGTGTGTACATACACACAAACGTCAGCAAAGGGAAGGAGAAAAATCTATAGAAACCCCATGGAGTCTGTAGAAAAAAACCTAAAACTGATAGATTAGACAGGTTAATTAGGTAAGAGTCTTTCTCTTGATTGTGGTCTACCAGCAGTGCCACAACCCATGATCTCTATTCCACTCCCGACATAAAATCTTGCAATGGTCAGTGGAATCTAATACAAGACCATCACATAGGCATGTACTGGTTGGGTATGGAGAGGCTCCCAGATAAACCTACACAGCCATTAGTCAACTCCATCACCTCTCCAGTAGGAGAAGGTGATGTGGCTGCTCAGAAGCTCGGGGGAAGGAAGACCATAATCTGGAGAGTGCCTGTGCTCTATCCTAGTTTACTTTGCCTTCTAACTAGTGAGGGCTTTCATAGGTTATGCCTACACAGCGTTACAAACCTTGGTCTATGGACTCTGTGTTTCCAAGCCTGTACTTGCACATCCACACTGTATTATTAAGCCTGGCTCTACAATAGCTAGACCCCAGTCTCACAGCTGCACTAACATGTCCACACTGCACTATATAGACTCGGGTCTGCGGCTTGAGTTGCGTCCACACCGCCAAACGACAGGGGCTGGGACCCACCCCCCAGCAGGGCCATGAGCGCTTGCTGGCCCCACTCAGGCTGGTTACTGTGGGCGGGCTGGGCCCAAAGCCGAGCCGGAGCCTGGGGGAGGTGCAGTGCGGACAGACCCCGCGCCCTGCCCACCCGCCGAGGGGTGCTCGGGCGCAGGGGACCATCTCGCACAGCGCATCCCCCGTGGCGACTCGGCGTTAGGCACGGCCGCCGCCCGGCTACCTACCCCCGTACAACCAGTGCTCCTCGTCCTCCTCCGCCTCCAGCGGCGCCGCGCCCGAGGCAGGGGGCTCCAGCTCGGTGGCCATGGCCGCCGCGCCCTGGCCTGGGGGGATGCGCCGGCACCGGCCCGGCGGGAGGAGGGCAGGCGACCTTCGCCGCCACAGGGCCGCACCGCGCTCGGAGGGGACGCGCGGGCCTGGCGCGCCTCACGCAGGGGGCCAGGCCGCGCCGCCCCCCATGGCCCCGGTGCGTTCGGCGCAGTCCCAGCCCCGCCGCCTGCACGCGCCGCTAACGGGCCGCCATCGCTCTTTCTCTGGAGGAGGAGGAAAAACCCGCGTGCGAGCCGGGTCCGCCGGGTCCTAGCGCCGCTCTGCCCCGCCGCGGGATCAACAAAAGGCGCTCTGCATCCCAAACAAGCGGCGTTCTTTCTGCTACTGCGCATGAGCAGATGGCGGCCAGCGTTCCTACTGAGCATGCGCGAAGATCAAGCACATGTGCAGTGGGAGAAGTGAAGCCACAGGGAAGCGCCTATGCCCTCAATTTTCCGTTGGCGCTTAGCTTTGCTCTGGGTATGTGCGGGGCGGGGCTTGGTCTCTTCCTCGAGCCTCAGCGCCGAGTGGGGGGCCGGCCGGAGGCTACAGCCCTGGCGCTTTGGCAGAGCGGCAGTGTGTCCCTCCAGGCCCCACCCCCGCGCTGGGCGAGGACCGTCCCTGAGCTCGTGGCCACCCATTCCCTGGAGCGCAGCCGTTCTAAGGCCACGGGGCGCGCGCTGTGCAGCACGGGCTGGGGAAGGACAATTCCCAGCTGGAATCACCCAAGCACATTGTAGGGGGTGGGGGGAACAGTCCCAGGGAATAAATGGATCAGGCAGCGGGAGCTGATCGAAAAATCAGACAGAAATGAGGCAAAACTGGGGAGAACGGAATGGGCGAAGACGGTGAACAACCTTGAAAAGGCAGAGCAGAGCATCTGCAAAAGGAAATGTAAAAGGCAAGGCCAGGGCAAACAAAGCAATATTTACAGGGAAAATCACGAGCTCACAAGCCATGATTGTTATTTATTAGTAGTATTTGAGCTGTGGTCATGTGTTGTGGTAGCATATCGGAGCCCTACTAATAGAGCAGAACCCCATTGTGCTAGGCACTATATGCAAAAAGACAGCCCTTGACCCCAAAGAGCTTACAATTTAAGAGGCCTTTGGCATCAATCAGGGCCCAAATTTGCCAGTATTAATGCACATGAGCATCTGGACACATGAATAGTCCACTGAGTTTCTTATGTAAGGGCTAGATCCTGCAAGAAGATCCACACAGATGGATTCTTGTACCCATGTGGAGCCCTGAAATTAATCAAGCCTCCACAAGGGTTCAAGGATCTGGTAGGGCATTTCCACTTGCAGGATCAGGGCCACACTGTGTATTCATTGGTCCAGACTTACAGAATTATCGATCACTGTTGACCATTGTTTGAGCAATAACTATGAAAGCACAGTGAATTCTGGCCCCTATCCTGCAAACACTTCATGGAATCATAGAATATCAGGGTTGGAAGGGACCTCAGGAGGTCATCTAGTCCAAACCCGTGCTCAAAGCAGGACAAATCTTACTCACATGCTTAACTTTAAGTAAGTAGCACTAATTGTGCTTAAAGTTAAGCATGTATACATATATATATTTGTAAGATTGGGGACTTTGGCTGTAAACTCTTTGAGGCCAGAACTGTAATTTATTATAAATTTGCAGTATGGCCAACCCTGAGCATTAAAAAATCATGAGTCAGCCCTCTTCCTTCCCAAATCATGAAATTGGCTTAAAAGTCATAAGATTAAAAATATTTTATTTATCTTCTGATTAATGTAGGATACACTTGGGAAACATTATATAGCTTTTCTCTGCAATAAGGATGGCTAGAAACTTACTTTGTTTTTCAAAAACAAAAGCTGACATTCTTATGAAATAACATGACTCCAAGAACTGGGGCTTTAAAAAAAACACCATATATCATGAGACCTGCAAATTGCAAGAGTTGGCAAGGCTGTATTTGAAGAGTGCCTAGCACAAAAGCACCTTTTTAATGCTTCTAGATGCTACCATAATACAACTATTAAATAACAAATAAATAATAATTGCCTAAGAAATGTTACTAGATGGAAGGAGTGCAATGCCTTGGACCATTTACCCAGGGAGTGCCCTACACAAAGATCATTACTGCTGTTATAACATGAAAATTGATTTATATGAATATGTAGAATATGTTTTACACCTACTTTGCCCTCATGTCAATGATTATACAAGGTGCAGAGCAACAGAGAATCGGGCCTCAAGTGTACAGGAACTTCAGACCATTCAGAAGGGGAGATTCCCAGCTTCTTAATGGTATAGCACTTGGATGTAGTCCTGGAAGATCCCAAGATACAGGTACTTAACTTTGTCAGTTTCATATATAATTATAATACCTATTATATAGCATTTTCACCTGTAGATCTCTAACTGCTTTACCACAGAAATAAATTATTATCCCCATTTTACAGATGGGGAAACTGAGGCATAGGGAGGTCATTGACCTACCCAAGGTCACCCATCAGGCCAGTGGCAGAGCCGGGAATAGAACCCAGCTCTCCTGTGTGGATCCAATGCTCTCTCTACTATGCCACAGGTCACAGTTAGTGATTTCTAAAGTAGTTAACATTTTCTTCTCTTTCTGAGCTATTTGCATTGAGACTCATGATATTAAGACAGTTTGGATTCCCTAACAGAAATTTCTAGTGAACACTTTCTGGTAGTTCAAGGTAGCCAACTAGATATTGGAATGGAGGGGCTATTGGACTACCGGTTTCTGGGACTACTAGTTCTCCAAAAGAAACTCTTCAAACTGTTAAAGAGTTTTAGTGAGCCATCCAGAATTTCCACTAGGGTTTTACAAGTGGATGGATGCAAAAAGCAATATCACAACACATTTATGTATGACTCTTTAAACCTTTTGTTAATAGTTCTTCTGTCAAATAGATGGCACATGTGGGACACATGGTGTGGCAACGTGTTATGCAGGATTTATAGGCATTTGCTTGGGATGACCTGCATAATTCATTTCTGGCTTTGCAAATCAGGAGTAATTTCATCTCAGTTGGCAGATTCAAGACCTGTGTGTCGCTTCCCATTCTCTTTCTTCTGGGAATTCCACAAATCAGTATCTGGTATTTCCCAGTCCTTTGGAGTAACTATCATTTTAGGAGGCTCAGCTGCACAGTGCCCATTTTGTTGTAGGCAGTGTGCCACCTTCTATCTCCTCCCTTACAGATTCTTTGGTTTGGGTCATGCTGCATGGAAGCTTAGAACAATGAGCCTGTCATATGACAATGGTAAATAATCACAGAATGAATCACTTTCTTGTGATTATTTGTATTTCTGTAGCCCCTAGGGGCCAGACTCGTGGACCAGGACCTCGGTGTGCTAGATGCTGTACAAACAGAAGAAAAAGATGGTTCTAATAGTGTACAAGAGTCTTGATTAGAATTAAAAAAACCAATATTACCTCTAAAGCTCCTCTCACTCTTTCTGCCTGGGGTTTCCTTCAACAGATTAAAAGAAACACTGCACATATCCTCACATTCCCTGTCTGAATGGAAGACAGTCAGTAGTGACAGACAAATCACACAGAAAGACACCTACACTTACAGACTTGAGTGAGAGCAAATCCATGGGGGACCCCATAACATGGACTATTGAGCCTGGATTACCTTCATCCAGTCTTGGGTGGAAAACTCCTGTTCCCACAACCAGAAAGTGACTGACATTTGTAGTCATCCGTGTCTCTTGTGGCCTGTCAGAAAATTTCACAAGAGACAAACAATAATTTCAAACAGTCCACAAGTCATTGCTTGGGCCTTATGAAGTGACACTTGTGTGATCTGTCTAAAAATAAAAGTAAGCCCCACCAGGAGCAAAGTGATGCTTTCAAGCAGTTTAATATGAACCACATTTTCCAGGGTGAAGCAGTGATAGAGCACAGACCTGTTAGTGTATTAGCTTTGTAATGTCTTTTCAGTTTATGTCTTGCTCTTCATAGTCTGTAACTCAAAATGTGCATGGCACCAAAAGACCCTGATTAATGACCTGGAGTTTCTCCAGCCATCCAACTGTTGTCATTATGGAACAAACTGGACCAAGCTGAATTTGTCCTTCGGGCACAAAACCATGATAGACATCAGAGATGTAGGAGATCCGTGTGGAACTAACCTGTAGGCTGCTATACAATGTTTAACCACATTGCACCCCAGTGGTTGCTTACAGAGATTCCTATTTAGTTGTTCGAACATCTATTTGTAAATCTCTTTGGGATGTAGCTGAATGAAAGTTGCAATACAAGAGTAAGATTATCATCGTTACCAACACTGCCATCTAAGAACTTGTCAACACTGTACCAGGCCTTATGTGTTTCAGATCATTCTGTTCTCTCTATAGTAGGCCTTAGCTGCAATTTAGATAGCAAGATTGCAGCCTCCTTTGGGCCAGAGCTCTTGTATCTAAGTCATCACGGTTCCAAAGCAAGAGTTCAGTCTCTGGTTCCTGAGGGGCTCAGCCAGTAACTTCTTCAGCCAACAGCTCCAGGACCCACTTCAGAAATTCATAAATGAAATGATATTTTATTTGCAGTTTCACAAAAATCAAGAGAAAAGTCATAAAAGACCAGATGAATACTTCAGAAAGGATAACTAAGCTGGACTGGAACTTACGTACAGCACACTGAGAGGTTGGTATACATTTCCCAAAGTGATTAGTGATTTTGGGTGCCCAGCTTTACAGACCTGGCAGGAGACTCATTTTCAGACAATGCACCCACCCTCTGAAAATCAGATCCCTTTACAAGGCATCTCAAGATAGGGACCCCAAAAATGGAGGCACCCAAAATCACTAGGCTCATTAGCAAATTTAGGCCATTTTCTATAGCATGGCAGAAAAGGAATTTTTTTATTTCTTCTGTCTAAAGTTGTGTTTTTCTTTCAGTCACCTCACTGTGATCACATAACTGCAGAGGACAGCTTGGGCTATTACTTTTAAGAGTCGACAGTTCCAGTCTCAGTCTCTACTCAATTAGCATTAGGTATTACATCATCCTCTGTCAATACAGAACAATCAATGGATTTTCTTTATACATATCTGTTTAAAAACAAACTCAGTTACAAATACTTCACATCTGGCCCAGGATAACTATCTTCCCATCACATTAATGTCCATCCTTTACTGATTCTCAATTGACCTTTTTGAGGCAGACCTGGGCATTTTACCTGAACATGGGGCAGACGGTACTGGAAGGATGCCAGATTCATTCAGGTAGCAAGATGTGAATTAGAAATTAGATGAGAGTTATCAAGTAACATTAAATATTAAACAAGTTGGCCTTACTCATCACATCCAGGTTATTCCTCTCTTGTGTGGCAATGACTGGACTTTAAGATGTAAGAGAGAAGATAAAAGTGTTGTATGATACTGCTCTCAACTCTCCACCACCCTTTACAAAGTACAGAAGATTTGATCCACCATCCACTTCCCCAGTACATGCAAAAATTATGCTGCTCTAACTGTACCAGTATAGTTAAAGTGATATAAGCCCTCCACCTAGTGTGCACGCAGTTATAACAGTGCCTATATCAATATGGCTTATTCCTGGATACAAATAAAACTATAAACCTAGCTATTCTGGCAAAACCCTCTAGTATGAATGCAGTTATATTGATATTGAAGTGCTCATACTGATATAACTTATGCCAATTCCTACAACCAGCATGAGCTGTACTGATATAAAGCACAGTTATACTGGTATAACTGTGTCTACACAATAGCTTTTACTGGTATAGTTATGACAATTAAAAAAAATTACACCTCTGACTGACATAGCTGTGCCAATACAATTTTTAAGATCAGGCTTAGGGGTTGTATTATTTTAACTATTTCAATAGGAAATCACACTCCTAACAGAAATAGTTAAACCAGCACAAAAACTGCATGTAGACGAGGCCTTGATGTAAAATAACTATCACTGTAGAAGATTGCTAATATATCACGTGACTTTTTCCTATTGATACATTATTTGTATTGCAGTAGCTCCTGGGCCATTGGTCCATGACTAGGTCTCTTATCATACATGTACAAACACAAGAAAAACAAAATCCTACTCCAAAGGGCAGAAGGTTCCAATAAGTTTCCAGATTCAGAATCCTGTCAATAGCTTCAGAGCCTGAGAAGGACTGGCACAATATTCAGTAAACAGCAATTATTTTAATAACAAGACTAAACAAGTCTGTGCGTGGGGGAGTGAGGAGTGAGGTTCTTTTAAAAAACTAGAAATTATGTTAGCGTTTGTGAAGAGTGCTGGATGCGTTATTGCTGGAAACTGAGCTCAGTTTCTCCACTCAACAGTGTTAGTGCAAGTTTCTTCACCTCCCCCAGCGTGCTGTATCCCTGATTTGGAGGAAGTCCCTCCACAGGTTTGTTTAGACAGGAATAAAAGTTACATTTTAAAAACATTTGAGCTCAAATGTTTTAACTGACCCATTTTAAAACTCAAGTGTAGCCCGGGCAAGTTGTATTTGGACATGTTAGGTGAATGCCCTAGGCCGGCTCCCTCCTAACCTTACCAGCTAGCTTGTGCTAAATTAAGTACAACTTGTCCAGTCTACATTAGTTTTAGACTCTGTTAATTAAAATATGCTAACATTGTAACCCTTGTGCTTCCTCCCCCACACTCCTTGAATCATATTCTAGATATCCCTTCAGCTAAGACTAAAAAAGTTGAACATGATGGTGGTTTTAACAACATAATTATAGTTCATGGAAAGTGGGACTGATGACCAGCTAATTTCACACAGGCCATTTAGTGGTGTTCAAATGGCAACAATTTCATTCTCCGGAGCTAAATTCACCCAAAGTTTTAAAAAATTCTTTAAAACAAAAACTGCCAATCAATTCATATGCAACAGTCATTATTTCCATTTTATGGTGGAACGCATCTCAGGCCTTCAACCAAAGGGAGACATTACCTTATAGCTGGTAATAGCAACATTATCAATAGAATGTTAGAAGTAAACCTGTTTTATAAAACTCCCCTTCATAAGAAATGCCTTTCTGTCTCCCCAACTAACAGAAGGCTATTGTATTTTCCCCTCAATTTTATGTCCCTTAAGACTTGCATAAAATTGTGGTTTACTTGGACTAGTGGAAGTCTGAGACTATATTTTATGTGTATCAGTGCCTTTAAATGAATCATATTTTTCTTTGATTTTCTTTTAAATTTACTCTGTTTTTAAACTCCTCTTGGACTTTCCAATGATGACGGAAGCGAGGTTTACATGGCATATTTAATATACAAGGTATTCAAAACAAGGTTAAATAGTTTGTCTATTGGCTGATTTCACTAACAGGCAGTTATATGTTCAAAACCTGCTCCTATGCAGCATCAGAGAAATAGGAAACTATAATTAAAGGACTGATGTTAGAATAGTTCCTAGTGCAATTTCCCTCCATTTTCAAAAGTGTCATATCTTTCTTGACAGCAATCTGACAAGTCTTGGGTTATTTTATAATTAAACAATTCAAATCCTTTTTCTTCAATAGTGTTCATAATAGCATATTGGATGCTAAAAATTGTATCTGTACAACATGGATGTCATCACAGTTGCTGGTGGTAGGCTTACTTCACTGTTGCCACTCCTCCTCCTCCTCTCTTTGGACTCTTCCTAATGTAATTTATCATGAGTGGGCAGTTTTGACCATTTTCTCTTAGGAATATAATTAGAGGATTTATCCATTCATTCAATTTTTTACAGCCCTTGTCCCTTTAGTAATCTAAGCACTATATAAACAGTAACAGATTTACAGCAAGTTTACACTGCAATTTAGTGTAATTGTAGTGTGGATAGATATATCCAAGCTGGCTTTCTTCTAGCTAGTACAAGTAACAATAGCAGTGAAGATGCAGTGGTACAAACATCGGCATGAGCTAGCAATCTGAGTACATATCCAGGGTCCTCAGTGGGCATATACTTGGTTGCTAGTCTGTGCTGACATGTCTTTGTTATTCACTAGATTAAAGCTAGTGCAGGTAAATTTACCCTCGCTACAATTACACTTAAATTGCACTGCAAGCTTCACTACATCCCTGTAATGTAAGGAAATATCCTCATTTTACAGATGGGAATGGAAGCACAGACATATTGATTTACCCAGACTCAGAGGAAGTCTGTAACAGAGCAGAGACAAAATCCCAGATCTCTCTAGTCACAATCTACTGCTTTAACCACAAAAATCACCCTTCTCCCATGGGTGGAAATGGAAACATATATAGACTCATGCCAATTTCCCCCCCTTCCTTCTTCAAAGGTGCAACATAGTGGTGATCGATTGTCCTTCTAGGCGCTACTGTCCACTCCAGAGGCAGCTGCATTTTCAGTAGCTCTGTACATATAGTTTGTAAAACAAGGGGGTACAACATGTAATACAAGTGACTAGACCCATTAGCTATTAAAAACACAAAATGCAAGTCAGAATAAAATTGGCTAATAGAGATTTGGCCCAACACCCAGAAGTGTTCTGTTTTAGAGGGAGTTGAGTATTGGGTTGCAGCAATGAAATAAAACTGGTCAGTGAAGTGCACATGTTGGAATGCTTTTTCATTTGCCTAATGTACTGAGAAAATGCGGAGCTCTAGAAAATGGTGTTCTATCTTTGAGCAATATACTTACATATGCTAGTTACAGGGACCCATGCATTCCCCACTACATAGAATGCCAAAGGACTTATGTATAAAATCTCACTCTCATAAGAAAAGTAGGTAATCAACAACTATAGGATGGGAAATGGTACTTTACAGCGTTGTGCTGCATATACAGTCTTCTATTCAAGTATTTTTGTCTAACAGGCACATGTTCTTGTGCCCCAGTCAGGCTCCCCTTGAGGTGGAACTACAGCAGAATGAAAAGAACCTGCTTTTCTCAGTTCTGAGAAGTCCTCACCATTGAGCTCCGATCCAGCAGGCATTGCGGATGCCTTGGATTTGAAGATGGCACAAGCTAACTCCAAAACTGTGGTTCCTATTGTCCAGAGCGCTATCTCCACAGTGGCAAGTGAAAAACAGTTCTTGAAAAAAGTCAGTAACAGCCAATTGGACAGATTCTATGGAGAATTAGGAGCATGGCCCAGAATGATTCCAAGGCCTCCACTACCCTCAGTCCAGCAGAGCCTTCATAAATTGCTGACCCTTGGTACCTTGAGCAGGTAAACGTGGTGGAGGCCCTGATGTAGAGGACTATCTGGCTGGGTCAGATAGACAACAGTCTTTTTTGTAATAAAGACTCAAAAATTGACATACAGGTCTGTCGCATCTTTGGTGCATTTAACATGTGCGATTTCAGCTTTATGCGGTTGGCAAAAACAAAAAAAGAGAGAAAAATAACAATTTAAATACTGTTTCAGTAGTGTGGGCAATTCCGCCCGCCATTACACTCAATGTAATTTTGACTATACACGATTTTCACTTTAGGCGCTGACTGTGGAACGTAACCCCAGCATAAGATGAGACAGACCTGTATATGTGATAACAGAAGAGGCGCAAAAGGGCGTTTTCCATTTCTACCCAAACTTTGCATTATTTGTTTTCATCTCTGGATTTAATTAAAATAAAAACGTTTTGAAAAGTGATTCAGATTAACCAAGTTTGACTTCCAGCTTCTTTAATGGCACAGGTCAAAGCAGTAAATTGTAGAGACAAAGCTTATTTAGGATTTTATTCAAAAAACTTCAAGGTGTGAGGTCCTATTAAAAAAAGTGGCTATTTACTTGTAAACAGAATAAAAATGTTAAGGACTCAATTAAAAATCCTTTCACACAACTTAAACAAAAACAGATTTCTGATGAGTTACAACTAATGTTACACTTTCATAAAAACAACAAAAACAAAGATTGCAGAACAGGAATATCAGACAATATTGTTTACTAAAATGGTCAGAACTATTTACATCGAATATTAACTCTGACATTTTTATTGCTCAAACGCTAATGTTTATAGATAAATGTAGTAAACTGATGTCAGGAGACACTAATACACGCATATTCATGGTTTTGCATACAGATTTCTGTACTTATCAAGATGAGCATATGAACTTTATCAAGACTACACTAAATTTAGCAAAAATGTATTTTGTTTCTAGTCTCATACATAATCAAATCTAAACTTTCTACACATGTTCATATACATTTACATTTCTTTAGGCCAGTTATGAAACTACTCTCAAAAAAGTCATTTTAAAGCCAGTAGATGAGAGTTTTCCTTCTCTGCCAATATTCTATAATACTGTGACATTTCCTAATGCAGAAGTCTGGAAAAGAAAACAACGATCAAAGTATTCTGACAAAACTTAAATTAAACAAGGTTTCCAGACTTGCTTTTCAGGAAATTTGTGGCAAATTACGCTTACAGATATTCACTTAAACTGGTTCCCTTTTCTCCCCCTCTGCACAGCATTTTCTCTTTCATTTGAGAAAGTCAAGGCACTTTCCTTTCCATTTGCATTAAACTTTGTTACCGCTACTCTTTGTTGTATCACTATGGACTCTCTCTGATTACCAATTACTCACCATGGATAGATTTTTACAAATTCATATTTACTTATAGCTTTTAAGATAATATAGATTTTATAAGACTGAAAACTATCAGATGAATATTCATGTATTAAAGCAAATGGTAGTCAAAATAGAACCTGTAGGCAGAATGTAGCCCACAGTCTAAAGTAACACCTGTGGCTGCCTTCATCTTTAAATGAGAAAAATGAGCTATGTCATTTGAATGTTGGCATTTGTAACACAATCCAAAATTACCTCTTTATTCAGATGAAGTTTGCTGTAATCAGCTGTCTTGGCTCTCATGCTCCAGGCCATTTGCTAGTATTGCCTCATAGCTGGGCAAAATTTAGGTGCCCGTTTTTTAACTAAATTTTAATGGGGGTGAAGACTAAACAATTTGTAATCTGTAAAAATTTGTAAAAAAACCTATAGAATTTATGTTCTTAAATGTGTCATTTTCATACAGATACAAGTGCAAGTCTTCTAAATTAATAACCCATTGAACATACTCTCTAACTGGGGAGAGCTGATGGTATTTTCTCTCAGCCTGGCAGTGTTTCACAAAAATGTGTTATAAATCAGATGGAACAATTCTGACCTGCATATCCTAAGGTCAGACACAGACTTCCGTCTAAGGGGAAGGACTGCTAATAGCTATGAGACTAAAGAGTATTCAATATTCACTACTACTCATGACATCAAACTCTCATTGGCTTTCTTGTCCCCTCAGCTGCAGAGGAACATTCTGCAAATATAGTCACTCAAATAAGGGAAGGAAATAAAGAGCATGGTGTGGTTTCTGGGCTGTTGGTTAACAAAAATGAGAGGGAATAATTATTAACAACCTCTAGCATAACAGTAAGAAGCTTCCGTTACTTAAGATTTTAAGGTATTAAAAATGCTTACAATTATTCTTTTATTAGCAACAGTTACTGCCCAGAATCCTGTTTTAACAGAAGTGAATATAAAATTAGGCATGCTATTCCAATTCTGTTTTGCACTCTATTTTCTCCGAGTCTTTAAGCATTCCCTCTGCTTCCCACCCTTAGTGCCATATTATGTTGAAATGGGTCTATGCTTTTCGTAGTTCTGTAATAAAAAAGTTTCAGCTAAGTTTATAGTGAGACATTATTGTAGATTTTTTTTAAAGTACTTACATTCTAGTGTTTTAAAATGCAGTTAGCTGACACTGATCTGCTAACGCGAACTGAACCCTGTCTACTAAGCTGACAATCCATTTCAGCATTCAGATTTCTCAGCTTGAAGCATCACTCTTGGCAGCTGTGGTTGGAAATTACATCACAAGTACAGGAGTTTCTTGTTCTTCAGCTGAGCAACAAAAAGGATGAAGAATTTGACTCAACAAGACTACATGCCTGTAACTGGCTCTCTGTCCCTCACCACTGTCATGACAGTCTGCTAGAAGTCATTTCAACTGCAGCTATTTAAATTCAATGGTTTAACAAATGTTTTCAATTCCAACCAGGGTTTGTACCATTCCTTTTCACTATGGATTAATATTTCAGAGGAAAGTCTAAAATCAGTCTGGAACTGGAAAACGTAGGCACCAAATAGCATCACAAAGAATCCAAATAACTGTAAAGCAATGCCTGGACACTAAGTTACGATAAAGCTCCTTGAGGCAAATATCAACTCATCATGGCTCACATCAAACAACTGTTTTGTGGTTCTCTATTATTCTGTTTGACAATATGTATGCTGCTCCTTTTTCATTCTGGAAAGGATGCAGTTTTAGTTAACTGCTTAATATATAAAAAAAATAATAGGTACCACTGTGCTATAAAAATAAGTAGTTTAATGTTTCTTCTGTATTGATTTACCTGTCCTAAGTAGTTGGCTTTAGTTATAACAATTCAGTCCAATTACTTTAAATTTGTTTCTTTGCCTTTTTTTTTTTTTTAAAAACACATTTTTTCCTGACTTCCATATATTTGTGTCTTTAAAATAGGCTTTTAGGATAGTCTGATAATATATTAGTTGCAGTCTACTCCACAAATACAACTTGTCCAAAAGATGAGAATACTTAAGATTCCTTATTTCAGGTACTAACCAAGACACCTGAAAAATCTCTGAAGAAACACAGAAATGCTATGCATTTTTCATCCATTTACTAACAAAGTGCATCTGAGCCCTACACCTGATAGTATGTACAAACTCATTATGGCTTTACCATAAAAATGGCATATGAATGGGTCCATACAATCAGGATGCTAATAAATGTCATTAATAAATCTATGTAGAACTGTTGGCAATACAATCAGAGCTATATTACATTCTGTAAACCTTGACATACTACACTGTACATTATGCAACGAGGCACTATTTACAAATCCACAGGGGGTAAAATAATTAACCCTCTAATGTAAGTGATGATTTTGCAAAGTGCGGGACAAAACCAGTGCTGTTAATTGCAAGTCCTATGCAAGCAAGTTATAGTAAAACCATTGCTAACTACTGGAAGCTTACTTGGATGTTTCTATTGAGGATTTATAGAAATGTGATTTTAGAATGAAATACAATATGATACAGAGTTAGGATGTACATGTGGAAACAGTAAGTATGGAAATTAATAAGGCAGCATGCTCAGAACAAGTTTTAAGCAGCACTGATGTTAGATCCTTAGTGGCAACTATATCTATTATTGTTAATGTTAAAAATTCAGAGTGCAACATAGAAGCCTCATTTAACATAAAAAATGTGCAAATTGTTTTCTTCTTAAACAAAATAAAATAACACAGCAAGGAAGATATTCTACCAAATAACATTTTTAAGTCACAGCAAAGTAGACCATCTTCTTTCCAAAATCAGCTACAAGGCACTAAGAGTAGGAAATGGCAGGTAACATGAAAGACTGAATACTGGTCCTCAGTCAGGTCGAAATATGGGATATTTTGGTAAGAATTCTATTAGTATTACCTGTTGAAGAAAAAACACAACATATTAACCAAACTGATTAGTTCTTTAGAATAAGGTCAATGCAACCGTATACATATTTATTGCCATGTGCTTGCTACTGGACTTGACATGTGCAGAACCTATACTACCCAGACATGTTATCAATATTTTAAGGCAAAATACTGTCCTGGATACATAAGCTTAAAAAAAAAATCAGGTACTGAGAAGAGTCCTGTCCTAGGTCCCATTGGAAAGTACCTTGTGGGTGCTGGGATTCCCTCCACGACTTTTTCCACTTGGCTTATCCCAGAACACCTCATTCAGTTATGGGAGAGCACTTTATTGAGTCTTCTAGAATCCAAGAAAGCAGTTCAACTCTAGGCTCATCCCTGAGGTTTCTTTATTGGCATACAATCAAACTATACACTGCTACCTCGATATAAAGCGACCCGATAGAACACGAATTCGGATATAACGCGGTAAAGCAGTGCTCCGAGGGGGCGGGGCTGCGCACTCCGGTGGATCAAAGCAAGTTCAATATAACGCGGTTTCACCTATAACGCGGTAAGACTTTTTGGCTCCCGAGGACAGCATTATATCGAGGTAGAGGTGTAATTGAGTTGACCAGGCTCGAGTGTAGGGGTTGGTACAGGGTATACCACACATCCGAAATACATAATCACGAACCAGTTTATACACATACTTACACTTACTACATCATATCACACACTATGATTGGTCTACTCATTTTTGTAGTCAATCCCTAACTAAATCATGAGCTGTTTATGCACTCCACTACATGCTAGGCAACTCCACTACAGCTGCAAGTTATCACACATTGCTTACTATCCTTCTATCTCTTTTCTACTAGCTACACCTTTTACATATTTACAAGGGTACTGTAACTTATGCTTTGTTCATTGTTTTGTGTCCTTGCTAAGA